TAAATGATTCATCAAAATTTTGAAAAAATCTTTATGCTGTGTGTAGAAAAGTTGAATAATAATTTCAGCTTCAATTGTTTAATAACGAAACAGACGTCTGTTTATTTTTCTTTAAGGTATGTGATTATTAACAGTTTGTGTGCAGCGCTGTTAATCATATTTTTATGTTGTGCTGTGAAAGCAGGTCAGAGCTTCATCTAACTCAGATGTGAAATGCAGAGTTTTGATACTCAACAATAGAAGAAAAAATCTAATAATGTAGAGAATGATATGCATCATTAGTGCGGTTTGACAGCAGCTGTCTGAGCTAGTCAACAAAACACAATCCACTTCATTTCCCCGTGGCAAACATGCAAATCTCCTGCCGTGTCTCCAGCTCAGGTGCATTATTTGCTCAGGTGATAATTCAGCACACAAGGACACCTGCGTCTGCGCTGCCCATCCGCACATGACAACCTCCCACTAATGTTGATGGATTAGTCTGCAACCATGGTAATTGCAATTATTAAACCTGTGTGATGACTTCGACTGACATAGGCCCCCAAACTAAAAATATCTTAAGGCTGGCTCCCGTGTTTCGTCACCACACTTCTCAGTTTGCTATTAAATGCTGCAGAAAGCAGCTGCTCACCCAGTGGGGAGCAAGAGCCCTAGAAGACACCCCTTCAAAGTCAGGAGGCTCGTATATAGAGAGAGTCTGGGAAATATTCTGATATAGGAGCTTTCAACAGCTTCCACTTATCCACTTATCTCAGTGTCCAGTGAATATTAGCCTCCCAGTATGAGCTCACACCTCCCCCCGGCATGGCCCAGGAGGACACTTCTCTCCTCGCTGTTTTGTCTCAGCTCAGATGCTGCTGTGGATAGCTTTCGTCTCAGAGCTGTGCTGCTGTTTACACAGTTGAAGATTACATGGAAATGTCAGGTGACTGTTGGGTCAATACACTGCTTGGTTCTGGGGGACTGGGGCCCAACAAATCAATCACTGACAATTAGACATATTTGTCCTATTCAAGCGACTCCACTCTGCAACTGTTGGATCAGGATATAGATCTTGTATCCTAGATTTCCCTGTGGTGCAGCAGAGAAATTAAAACCTGCTTTTTCATTAGCATTCAATTGTCTTGTTCCAAACACGAAAGCAGAGCTGTTACCTTACATTCCAGCTCTTGTGGAAACAACAGATATATCAAAGAAAAATACGTGAGATGGCTAATTATCCTGCACAGTACAGAGGTAATTTACAGCTTTTTTATCATGTGATATCAATTTCTTTAAAAGGCAAAAGCCAGGGAGTCCAGGGAGATCACTGCACCACTGCTAAAATATTCGTATTGGTTTCTGTTTTTTTTATTGTTTTTTTATTTTTTATTTCACAGCTTCTGTTTCTCTCTGTGGTTTGATGCTTGTGGTGTCAAAATGTGCTGCAGCTCTACCTATGGAAGAACGAGTGGGTTTGGTCACTGGGGACTTTGGAGTGCTTGGAGGTGTGGGGGAAGCTGACTTGCCTGAAAAGAAAGACAAACCTTGTGGTTATCAACTGGGGCTAGAGCCCGGGGCACTACCCTCTACTGTTAGCACACATGCTATTATCTAAAGTTAGTGGCTACGCATGTACAATAAAACTTAATATAGAAAAAAACTATTGTTTATACATGCACAAGATATTGGGATTTTTAATTGGACTTGATCTTGCCTTTCAACAGCCATTTCATTTTCTTTTTTTACATCATTACAAGGAAGAAAGATAGATCTTCTTCCTAAGTTTGGCCCTTGAAGCATTATTTATTTCCTCAACTTAGACGTGTTGCACAGAGTCTGCTGTTGCTAGGATAAAAGTCAATATTCGTTTAGAGCCGCTAATGAGCCACGATTAGTATGAATTTATAATTAGGCTACTCATTACCATTGCTATTAGAGAGGAAGCCACAAACTTTATCTGGAGGAGTTGACATTTTTCTAATGAAAGGAGGCATCAGAGAGCTCTCTGCTGATGGCAAGGGCAAACAGCAGACAAGGTCAATTATCTGTAGCGGAGCACAGCGTTTAGCCCTTTTTTCATAATGTGCAAGAAAAATAAAATGTGCTCAACAGTTTGGGACTCAAATACGCCTGATGATTTACACAGGTTTAAAGCATCCGTACCATTTCTACATCTAAACATGCACCCGCTACCTCTGGAACTACTGACTGTCAGACATGTCATACTAACATACAAATCTATAAATATATTTCAAAGAGGAAGGTAAAAAAGTATCTTCAGAGTACTTTGAGATCATAGACTGTAAATAAAGATCAAAATGTCTGCACTCTCTACCACTGTCAAAATATTCTAGTTACGAACGCTGCCTTTTTGTGCATTTCAAGCCAAAAACTGGAGTAATTTTTTGGGGAATTACATGCGCCTGACCGATTGTGAGTCCATCTCAGCTTCAAACCGTTTTTTACAGTATCAAATAACTAACAAAACTGCAGCTAAAACTATGAGGTCTGACTACAAACTATATGGACGGTAGTGTGAACGAGCACACTGCAAACAGCTATACAATGCAGCAATGGAGAAAATCACCAAGTAAGAGATCTCTTATGCTATTTTGAGAAGTGTAGAACTTGGTTTTGTTTCATAATGGAACTGTGGCAGGACAAATTATAATATACTGTCTAGATAATCTGACTACATTTTCCTTTTTAAGATGCTTTAGCTTCACTTTGGGGGGGCCATCGTGACATCCGTCTTTATATACAGTCCATGTTTGAGATTCAATTTGTAGGTATGACATGCTACAGCTTCTACGTAAACACAGATGCTACATACTGAGGCCAACAGTGGAAGCCGAAGTGGAAGCTGCGAAAAAAAAAAAAAAAAGAAAAGAATGAAAGAAAAAAAGACAGAGGGGACAAGCACTGCATTGCTAAGCAGACGTTTTACACATTCACACACATTTACAAGACACTGCATGATCAAAGGTGCGGTTGAAAGCAGTGCACTGTTTAGTGGTGGGAGAGTGATGGTAATAGTGCACCGAAGAATTACCATAGAACATTATAATGCTCAAATTCTCCTACACACACACTCTCACTCATTCTTACACAGACACACAAACATGTAACAGCTCGACTAAATTGCAATTCAATACATAAAAAATTACTCATCCTGCCTGCAATCACTTTTCCTGCCTTTTCAACATGCAAATAAACAACCCCTACGAGCCAATTAGGTTTCTTCCTGTGATTCTTCGCCAACGCTAAGTCATCGTCTGCACATTTAGCACCTGCAGTGTGTTCCAGCAAGTTAAGCGTTTTGTCTTTGTATGACACAACTTGAACCAAATCAGGGGCAATGGAAGTCTGTATGATCACACAATATTAAATGTAAGATAAATTCATGACTTGTTATATTAATTTGAATTACAGGGATAGTTCATCCAAAGATAAAAATGTACTCATGTCTACTCAACACTCGCCAAGGGGCACGTGACGACATCAGCGATATTCGCCAGGCATCACTAAAGTCCTTTCAGGTCGTGCTTAATGTTATCACATTCTATGTTTGTGCATATATACTTGAAAGCCTGCTTTAAAATCAAATATTACAAATTGTATTAAAGTAAGATATGTTAGGCCTACTGCTATTCTACAATCAAAATGTTAACCATGTTTTGCCTTGCAGTTACAGCCTCTTGCCAGTAGGGGAGTGTTGCAGCCTCCACAGCACCATTACTTACAGACACTTCATCCCACAGTAAATTTGCCGCCAAGTTGTTTGAGTGATATTGAGAGTATCTGTTGCTGCGGTTCATTACAGTGAAACTCAGGTGTCCCTGCACACTGTTTCCTGTTTCATTTCACATTGTATACAACATTACCCACCACCTCACAGGGGCTCGGCTCATCTGAAGTATGGTGCGCAGTCCTCACCAAATAATAAGCAATTGAAAAGAAAAGATTACATGCTACAAGCCAGCTCATTATCATTACCCCCCAACTCTTTCAATGATTACACAGTTCAGCATCAAAACCCTAGTTTCCCTCCTGCTAAAAGCTATTTCTTTCTTAGTTGATTGTTTCATAGCCCGTGCTCTCTGTCCAATCAATAAGCACTTGGTCTCTTGTGACAGTGACAAATGAAAACCCCCACGACAACCATATGAAATTGTTTATCCACAAAAATTACTTATATGGAGATATGAAAAGCTTGGGTGCCCAGGCATATATCATCTTCTGCTAGTTCAATGCCATTATGAAACAGTGACACAAGTTTGTCAACTACAGTTGCTCGTCCATGCTGGACCTAAAATCCTTGTCTGGGTTTCTTCTGTCTTCCCCAGAAAGCAACCCGCTCACCCACTCATTCTCTCACCCACAGGACATCTCACACACACACCACCTGGTCTGATGCTTTCTGGACCCTCCCATCACTCACTTGTTTCGAGGGTGGTTGTGCTCTCTTCGCTGACAACAGGCCCACAGCCCACCGTGGTGCAAGAGCGCAGGGAGAACTTGTATTTGCTTAGGGGCTCCAAGTCGCGCAGGATCCACTTGGTGGTGCGGGGGTTGCTGATGTCTACAGTCCGCTGGGGCCCCACCTCCTCTGTGTCGTTGACTAGATTAAAAAAAAAAAAAAAAAAGGACAAATACTTTGGATTACACTTGGCATATGTGGTCATAAAGCAATGCAAAAATCACAATGAGTAAAAAACAAAAGTTGTCAAATGAAACAACTCTGTGGGTAACGAGGGTTACCCACAGAGCTAATTCTATCTGTGGCCATCACAAGTGTGCATGTACACAGAGGTCACTCTCATGTCAGATTCCGGGTGACAGGTACACAGACTAAGTGAAAGGCAAGTTCTTTCATGAGAGAGAGAACTGCATTGATACCACAACTGCAGCTGAAACTATAAGCTCGGGCTGTCTGTGTGGACAGTAAAACATTATGGGTAATAGCACGAGCACACGGTTGCTCGACTGAGCATGTAGCAAAGGTTAGAGATCTCATATGTTATTGTGAGAAGTGTAAACGTTTTTGCTTCAATATGAAACTGTGGCAGGTCACCACAGTCCAGATAATTATTGGGAAACACTGGTCTATATAACCAACACACAGCAATGAGAATCTTACTCATTTTCAATTCTTTGACCTACTCATATTGCATTGTTGAAGGGAAAGTTCTTCCTTTTTAAAGTCATCGTCCACAACAAGCAGCATAAAACTAAATTCACTCTATTCTTTTGCTTAGAAACTACTTTATCAAGCTATCTGCTGATCCTGGTCCCTTTTTATAATTTTCATTCCTAAAGTCATTTTCCTGGTTCCAGAGACAATGAACTACTTTTGAACCGTCTTACCCAATCTGTCTTTGTCCCTCATACCTTCATATTTGTGTTGGAATCCTTGGATATCCATTATGATTTGAACAAAAATAATTGGATTAATTTGTGGACAATTATCTAAAGCATCAACAAAAAGGTTTTTACTTTTTGTTGTTCTAACACAAAGAAGTTTAGCTTCCAGTCTTCACTGTTTCATAGCCAAAAGCTCCCCATTCACTGGCATGACAAGTGACAATCTCATCACATTTCACCAATGCCAAGAAAAGCAATTGTCACTTGTTTTGATTTGCACATTTTCTTTGTTGACATTAGCAAGAGACAACTTGTTATTTGCTCTTTCTTTGGCTTATTGTCCCTTTAAATCATATTTTCATGTCACAAACAAACAAGTTATGTTCTGCACATTTACATCCATGCTTTCTTTTGTGTGGTTGTCATCTGCACTTTTGACTACGTTGTGATAGGATCTCATTTTTCACTACGTAAAGCAAGCGAGCAGGTAGACGGGTGGCATTTATGTTCTTTGTAACAAAAACAAACACAGCAGGTGTTGAGGTGACCTTTGCTGTGAAAGAGGTGCTACGTCTCTCTGGTAGCACACAATGACAAGAATGTATTGGCCTGCTTCCATTTTTTCCCTCAGATACCACCCACTGTTATCAGACATCACAATGTTTTGTTTTGTTTGTAGGAATAAAAACCTTTTTTTTTTTTGTGAGAAATGAAACGGGTGCAACTGGAGACTGGTGCAGAGAAGAGGCCACAAGCATCATCATTCTCTTTCTCACTTATCTGGACACACTCAGGCACATCATCTCATGGAGTGAACTGACTGAAGGCTGCCGACTATTCCTCTGAATTCAGACAACATTTATATTTCCAAATATTCCTCAGCCTGCTGGGCCAAATACAGCTGGCCTTGTGTAGTGTGGAACAGACCGAGATGTACAAACACTAAAATCTGAGACATGACCCAACAACGAGTGTGAGTTCAGCCCAAATACAGAATTAATAGCAGCCAAGGTCATTCTGAACTCCCACGTGTGAAGATATTTTATATCAGTGCAGTGCAAATTCCACTTGGTCCACTCATGGTGAGTTATTCTACAGTCACTCAAATATATTGAAAAATGGTTCAGAAAGATCAATCTGAATTTTAACACAATAAAATCCTCACCTCAATTCTTAAGAGTTCAATTTTTAAAGACACTTGTTGGGTAAAGCACTAGTCACACCAGATTTTTACCAAGGTTTTCCACTCACCCACAAACTTTGGAACTCGCCAACAAAAGCTCCAGATCAATGCCTATTCAGTCTTTGATTGTCAACCACAATTGCTGTGTGAACTTGTCAAAGACACAATTCGAGAGGCTTGACGGCACAATGCCTACTCTGCCTAGGGCTACATCCATATTACAACAATCTCTGTCCACAAATGTTTTGGCTCTGTATCAGTATTAATCCCTGTCCATAACAACACGCCTCGAAATACATATCACATTACCCTGGGTTATGTGTGTGCCGGTGTACACAGGAAGCATTTGATTGTTAGTTGCAGAAAGAGCTAAACCACAAATCAGTAGATGCAATGGGGAAAAGGAAAAATCAGACATTTCTATTAAAATACAGTGTTTAACTGGACAACAGCTGTTATCAAAGACCACAGGGTCAGCATTACTTGTAAGTGATTATAAATGTCACTTTCTACACTGGTAGCTGAGGCTCATGCTGGTGAGTTTCTTTCAGAAGGGATTCATGTGATAGGAGTCCGAAAGAATCAGCAAAGGCTTGTGTTGTGACCAGAAAGACCCAATCAGTAAGAGCCTGAGAGTGTCCATGTCATCATTTCCAAACATCTGTTTCTGCTCATCCAGACTAAAATGAAGGACCAGAGATTTAAACTTAAAGGGGATCAGCAGCATATATTAAATTCTCTGTTCTAGTGGTACTTAAACCCCGGACTAAAGTGGACGCCAGGTGTATCCTCAGCATTGATGTGTTTTGTCGCCTACATTTTCATAGCAGGCTAAATATCGAGATGAATGAGCACCACAGCCAATCAGAGGGCAGGTTGGTATGAAGGCGGTATAATGACGTACATGTAGTGGTGACATGCCCTCAAACTTTTGTATGTTGCTATTATGTTTTTTTATAAGTTATAAGTTATAAAAGATATGACTTTGTTGACGACAAAGTTGAGAATAATTTCTATGCAACTGATTCCACTGAATCATTTCTGTTTCACCTCATCCAGCTTGATGTGTCATTGTGCAGCAGGATGACACAGAGAAACAGGAGGATCACTCAGACTCACTGTGTCTCTTCTCTTGTGTATTTTTGTGATCAAGCTATATTTGAGACCAGACATAGCAAACGCAATGGACTGTATTTATATAGCACATTTCCAGTCTCATCACAGTACTTGGGGGTTTGTCCAGGTAAAATATTGTGTTATGTATGACCCCTTGTTACCAGTCAATCATGTAGTTTGAACTTTGGTTAAGTGCTCTTATCAAGTAGGAAACGTTTTTGTTTTTGAGTCCTTCTCTTACTTTTATGACACAGTTAGTTTGCTGGGAGGTGTGGGCTTTAAGTTAGTATGTACTGGTCTTTGACCCCAAGCTTCACAGTCAGTTGGCAGCTCTTTAAGACAGCGTGATCATGCCGTCCTCTCAGCAGTTAGGGAATCTTTAGGATACATTCAGCCTTCATGTTTTGAATGTCTTTCTAATGCCTGCTAATGTTATGAACATATTTGTGATAACCTGACACAATGATTAAAAGGTTTAACACAGACAATGTACCATTTCAAAGCAGAGTAGTTGAAGCCGTTAGAACAGCCTGGTATTACCGTATGCTCAACGTGTTGAACAATGTTACAATAGTGAATCCTGTGAGACGTGAAGCGATAAAAGGCTGCTGCAAAGATGGGCGTCGCCCTCAAACAGCTGCGCTGCAGCTGGAGATTCCACTTGTTTCACTGATGATACACTGACACTCCTCAACATTTCACGCATGACTCCCTTCAAGGGGACTTAAAGAAAAGTCACTCTTCAAGGAGTCCATCAGCTTTATTGCTGTGGCACAATGAAAACGTTCTCTCCTGAAATACTGTATGACACTTGGCCCCCTTGTGCAGCCGCCAAATCAAACTCAATTAGCCGGGAAATGTGAAGCTGGGACGTTGTTAAAAGTTAGTCATTAGCTGTGTTGTGACTTTTGTTTAAAGTCATAACAGCAAAGTGTGTGTGCACACATGTGAAGTGCTCAGTGATGCTATACCCAAGGACTGCGAGCTGCTGTGAAGACATCCCCTGCGGACAGTATAGGGTCAGTAAGCAGGGACCTTAACAGACTGTGACACAGTGGCCTTGGTCAGCACTAGCTTAGCCATGATTGTGACACACAGGCCAGCAGACATCACCCTGACATGTTTCCTATACACACAGTCTGACCTCACCATGACCTGGGCCTTATTAGAGCAACACAATGATTTTTCCTTCCGTGCTCAGGATCATGGGTTAGACAATCACCAGTGAGTCAAAGATAAATCTCCTTTGCTTTGCTGTTACACTCCAGAGGTACAGCACACACTTGGCTGTTTTAAAACTATACCATATTATACAGAGATAGAGGCTGTGCATTTCAAACAGTGAGTATATTCAGCTCTCTAATATGCAGTCAGATTGAAATAAATAGCCTGTGTGTTTTTGTATATTCTGTGTCTTTTCCTGTTTGTAACCTCATAAGAAAGGGGAGATGTGAACACCATTAAATACAAGGGGAAAATGCAATATCTCTTTGTCGTAACAATGCATCACCAATATATCTGAGCTAGTCAAGTGTTGGGATGAAACATAGAGATACGTACTGAACTGATAGTCTAGGAGGTACCCGGTGAGAATCCCATTAGGCTCAGATGGTGGATCCCAGACCAGAGAGACAGTGTGCTTCTGTACATCTGTGACCCTGAAAACAGGATTTTTCTCAGGGACTGTGGGGGCACAAGAAGGTGATACACACAGTAAGCAGTTGGACTCTCCAACCCAGTTTCCTTGACTATTATTAGATTTTCCCTTCAGAAGTAGTAAATCAATACATTTCATGCTGTTTTTCCACAAACCCACCTCCCTCTGGGGTTTTAAAGTTGACAGGATGGCTGCCGGGGCCGTTGCCCCGTCCGTTGAAGGTCATGACAATGAGGCTGTACTCGGAGAAAGGAGTCAGTCCTGGTATCGTGGCGTGGTTTCGGTCTCCAGGGAACGTCAGAGTGTGTTTCTCTCCGTGACTTTTCTTTGATTCGGCCAGGCTGCGCAGACGCCACCAGTTTATCTACATCGGTAAGAACACACACAGAGAGCCATCCTCAGCAGAGTGATCAAACTCTGTACATCATACATGTGGGAAAGAGCTGACAGGATACTGAATATGCAATTGTTGATCTTTCCTTTCAAGTGAGCAGAAAACATCAAGTGAAGGACAACAGAGTGGGGTGAGAGAAGTAAACGTTCAGAGCAAGGTCAGGGCCATTCCTTTTAAACTGTGTCTAAAAGCAAAGGTTTGTTTTTGAGGTATTACCCTGTAGCCTCCCAGATGTCCATGTAGCTTGTCCTTGTGTACACGCATCCAGCTAACCTTGACCAGTGAGCTGTTCATCACCTCCACAGCTACATCATCAGGTGCAGCGGAGGGAACTGCAACAGCAAACACATATTAGGAGAAACATTCAGCAGTGAGGGAAGAGTAACCAGGATGTTCTTGTAGAAGAGTTTGAGCAACACCAGAAATGAGCGAATGAGCATAAGACATAAATACTAAACAGCTACACACATTTGGAGATCGCCTATTTACAGGAACACATACTGGGGACTAATCAATCAATCATTCGATCAATAAATCAATAAAGGACTCTAAAGGGGTAAGTAAATACTGCAATTTAAAACACCACAGGAGAGCAAGGACACAACAGAGAGAAGTGTCATGACCTGAGGAGACCTCCTTGGGGCAAATCCAGAAGAAAGCTGCACGGGGAAATACAGTCAGCCTCTGTAAAGACCCCAATTCTTCAGAAACTGTAACTGCTACAATGCAAAACCTTGAAACTCTTATCCTCTCATTTGTTCTCAAAGATTTCAAAATCACAAAGCTTATAAATAAATAATTCCACCAAATCAACCTGAATACCGCAGTTGAAAATGCCAGAGTTAAGCAGAGAGGGAAAGGAAATATTTTAATTAAAACTTAATTATCTTTTCTCCACAAAAATCCCATATTCTAAAACTTCATGGCTACTTTGCACTTTGGCAACTCCAAATAGAGGCAAGAGGTGAGTGAGAAGGTTGTGCAGTTCTCTCTTCTCATATATAGAAAAGCATTTACTTTTATATCAGTAAATTCCAGACTTTTGTGTTTTATTCACCAGGACTATCTGCAATCTCTTCCCACTGAAATAGCAACTAGAACATTCATAGGTTTTAATTTTCTCAGCAGAACTTAATTAAGAAAAAAATCTATAATGAGTCTGTTTACAGCTCTTACAGTTATCTCTTAAAGCATCTTTGTCAAATGGCTTTTAGTTTATATCTAAAGAACAACTTCATTTTTAAGCTTAAATTGGTCTGAGAGAAATGTAAGAACTAGCTGAATAACCTTTGACATCTCATAGCCTTCACACTAATTTAAACCTACAGCAGCTGCAGAGTTATATTGAATCTTAATATGAAACTTTTACTTAACTGTAGAAAATAAATAAGTAGAGAAAAGTCATTTAGTGAGTGAACGGCACAATCAGGTCAACAGAGTTTTTTTGATTTTAGCTAACAAAAAACACAAGTCGGTGCTTACTCTAGACCAGATAAGGCAAACAAAATTATTATTAAACCATAGTTTGTATATAAAGATGGACAATGATAATCCACTTCCTCCCACTATCCAGAATTGAAAGCTGCCATGGTATTAGGAGCCAGAGTCTGCTCAGTTGCCATCAAGGGATGTAGCCTATGTAGTTGAGGTGCCTTGGATCAACTCAAACAGTATTTGTGTGATAAAAAAAGTAAAATGACAGACACAATATTCGAGAAAGATTTATATGACGATTACTTTCTAATTTGGCCCATGTCCCATTTGCTAGCATGGAGGAGGGGGGATTTTAGGACAGAGGTTTAACTTTAACATGTTTCTTTGCACTAATTAAATGTAAGTCCAATATTTGCTCTCTTTTTAGCTCTTGATTTTTAGCCCTTCAATGCTCCACATGTTCATCATGCAGCTGATAACTTTGTCAACCCTTTTGACTGACAGGTTGTAATCTCAGGTTTATTGTAGCTTTTGCACTGACAAGAGTAGAATTGAGGACATCACAACCAAAACAATGTGTTAAAAGGCACTAAGACATCCATAGATATGAGGGGAACTGCAATTTTGGGTATTTTTGCCATTCCATATAACCTTGTGCAGCTTTAAGTAAAGTTATATATAATCTACTCACAGTCCTCTCCTGAGTAGCCAGTCAGTATCTTGGGCTCAGGTCCCCAGCCCTGATGGTTCTTGGCTTGGATCTTGATCTCATAGGGAACAAAGGTGGGAGTGTTCTTCACGACAAACGAGTGTCTCTTCACAACGTGTTCCTTCCAGTCCTCCTCAATGTCCTGTCTTCTGTAACTCACCTTGTATTCTAGACCAGGGCCATTATGCTCAATGAGTAACAAGGGCTGAATGATGGAAGCAAAAATAAATAAATTAAATAGAACAATGGGGTGAAGGAGTTTCATGCAGACTTTTACAATTGCATAAGATGCTTCTTGTATTTCACTGCTCAATGTCACTGCCTCTGTGGGATTAAAATGACAAGCTAGCCCAGTGAACTGTGCTCAGAACAGTGGCTGCGTGTTATGCTGCCGTCTAATAAAACAATGGAACAATTGACCTGGTCTGGCACCGAGGCTTTTCTTTGATATAGGGCTTTGTATATCTTTGTAGATGAAAAGATTTATCTCCTCACAGAAGTCAGCGCATGAGAAATAGAAAGAGATACAATTTTCCACAAAGGGAAATAATTAACAGTGGGGAAGCTCATGAATCCGGGATTTAGGAGCTACGTTACCATGACAGGGCAACCGGATAATAAGTGAAGGAGAGATTCATCTTTCTACAATAAGGTAAAATGTATTACTGTATGCATCAAAAGAAAAATTTTCCTTTTCATGGCCATCCTTTCTCTTTCTAATCAAAGAGAATGAGCACCTTTCAATGGGGGCTCTTTTCACAGCGATCCCAGGAAATGGCTTTTCTAAAGATCGGAACCACAGAATGAAATATCAAAAGTCGACCATATCCATTCCTTAAATTCCTATTGGTAATTGCCTATTGGACATCAATAAAACCTCATCTCTTTTCTCTTAGTGGGATTCTTTGACATCCAAAAACTGCAGTGGGTGTGAATAATTCACTATGCAAAGGTAGCCCACATTACAGAATCTGCTGTAAGAGGATAATGAAAGACCAAACTCAGTTCCTTACCTCCCAGTTGATATCCATTTCATGTGGCAAATGACCTTCGATTTTGATATTTTCAGGGTTCTTGTCAGGGGCTGTAGAAAGGAAGAAATATAGATTTTGTCGGCACAGTAGAATAAATCTCCAGTGAAATAGGCACACAAGAGAGCAGATTCTCAACAAGAGTGGAATCAATTATGTAGCAGGTCTGAGTGTTTTAAAGTTCACAAAGCAGCAGCAATGGCAACTGGAGTGGCCTGGAGGACCTTATCAAAAAGTATAATAAACAATGAAAGGAGGAAGCCTCGGACCTGCTGGAGAGGTTTTGTATCTCTCCGAGGGCTCGCTGGGAGGCCCCCTCCCAACGGCGTTGACTCCAGACACTCGAAAGCAATAGTCGACGTGACCGTGGAGTTGGGCGACGGCAGAGTTGTGGTTCCCAGGCACTCGGAGCAGCTCCTTCCAGTTTCCCGGCTCCCACTGACTTTCCTCGTACTCGATAATAAACTCTGTTGAGGGGTTGAGAGACAATCAGTGATGTGGTTCTTGCTTATCTAACCACAAGCCGAGCAGAAAGCTCCTCAAACTCTGCTCCGGGGAGGTATATTCCTCAGGGAGCCTTGTCATAATTCACATGTGGATGAATCAATCATGGATTCGCATTGTACTAGATGCTATAAAAAAAATCTATTTACATACAGAATGACCCTTAATGTGTACGTCATTGCAAGATGAACTCATTCACAATATTCTATAAATACATTATACTGACACATGCTCCTTTTACCAGTGGTTGAGCTGTTGTGATCGTCCCCAGGGAACCATTTCAGTTTCACGCTTCTGCTCTTGTGTTCAGACAGAACCAAGTTGTCAGGTGCATCAGGGACATCTGAAAACCATCATAACAACATGGCAACATGAAAACAGAATCACAGATACATCCATCTGTGTAGCAGAGAAAGGCCAAAGGAACAAATGTTCAATGAAATTCTCTCAAAAGTCCAGGGATGTAGAACAAGCTGCATGACTGCACGGCTGTCCAATGTTTCTTTTTAGATTTAAGGAGGTCAATAGTATTTCAAAGGGTGATTGTCAGACACAGCACTATGCCCCGCACTAATTAAGCTCTGGTCTGCATGCTCACGCTCTGCTTTGGCTTCCTGACATATTGATCCCTGTGTGAATGTGTCATACATTAATGTAACACCAGGGGTCTCCGAAGCAGAACTACTGTTCACATGTTGGCTCACCTAACACCATGAGCAGCGCTGAGGCCGTGGCTCTGTCCACCGGAGTCCTTGCCACACACTTGTACACACCCTGGTCCCTGTGGCTTACATTGATGATCTGGAGAGTACCGTCCTCCACAAAGTATCTGTTGATATAGAGATGGAGACACAATGTTGACAAAGCTGAGAAGTAAAATGACTTTCCAGCTGGGATCAAGTCTGCAATGCTGTTTAAAAAAACATCAGGTATCCCACCTTGAATTCTCAGTGTAGTTGAGGGTTAACTCTATATCGTCTTTTTCCCACAGGAGCTGAAAGTCGTTGCTGAAGGACTTGTCGTACTCTGCCAGGCATGAGAGCTGGGCCGTGGTACCTATTAGGATCTGTTGGTCCTCCGGGGCCACGACTATGCTGGTGGGATCTTCCACATGGGCAAGACCGTGTTAGTTACACTTTGAGGAAAACGTGAACCTCTGCAAACACTGTTACATGGAAATCTATTCACCTTTAACGTAGAGCATGGCGTCAATGGCGGACGTTCCCTCTGTGTTTTTAGCTAAACACGTGTACTGTCCCATGTCGTCTTTCTCCACGCTGTAAATCTCCAGTGATCCGTTGTCGTGAACGCTTAATCTCGGGCCCTCCACGGATTCAGAGGAGTCGTCTCTGCTCCTGCAAAACATAAAGAAAAAAAAAACCCATCAGTCAAAATGGATAAACACATCACTGTGGCAGCAAAGACAAAATAAAAGAATAGAACATCATTGCTGAGTGACAGGCATGTGTTTTTTTAAGAAACAGCAGGTCGTCGATACAGATGAACAGTGCACAGACGAAATGTGAGCATCGAGCAGCTGAGATCTACTGCTCTCTGCTGGTGTGTAATAGACTGGTAAAAAAAACATGTACGCTTACCAGGTGATTGTGGAAGGAGGAGAACTGAAGACCCTGCAGTGCATCATCACTCCATTCCCCTGTACAGCGGAGTAATCCTCCCCTTCTTTGGTCAAAATCATGGGGGGCAGATCTGCAAAAGACCAGGAGCAGAATCGAGTCATCAATCAGAGGTTGTTGGGAAAGCGCTCGGTGCATTAATGTGGCTTCTCAACCGATGATGGAACAAGGACGATGAAATCAAGTTTGCAGTCTTGAAACCAGACGAAGAGAGAATGGAAGGAGGCAGATAATCGTGGGTTAAATGAAGTGACAAAACAGTTGCTTTTACCGCATGATATTTGGTGACTAATTTGTGTTAAAAATTAAATAAATAAATAGCATATTCAGCTGTCATGCTGTCAGAAATGTGCAAACGTGAAAATGAAATCAAAGAAGAAAACAAAGGAATAATGAGAAAGCCGAGCGGGTGCATCATATCAGTCGTAGTCAAAGCCTCCCATTAAAATGCTCTGTCTCCCCTAATTGTTTACAGAGGCAGCAGCTGGGACTCAGCATTCAGAGGCTGTCCAGTTTTATTAACTCCTGTGTCACCGAGAACAAAGTCCCCCACGTTGGTGCGGAGCGATGGAAAGCAACAGTCTGCCTTTTTCGTTTTTTATCTGTTACTTGTAAAGCAGCACATGTTTGTGTTATGGCACCGGAATCAGGACGGAATTGAGGGGGGACTTGTTAGCATATACTGTAAATGTCAGGGAACGCCGCTTGTAGCTCCACAGGGAGAGCGGCTAGTCTGAATGAAGGAGTGCAGCTTACAGACAGCCCCCTCCTCTTCACTCACTGCTTCATGGGCATATGCCAACTTCATCACCGGCTCTCCAATCTTTGAAAGATCAGTCAGCAGTCTCCCCATGACTCACCGTACTTACTCATTAATGCTGTGGAACAAACAAATCTTGCACTGTTTTCATCCACTTGGAAAAAGCACGCCGGTGAAACAGATCTGATGACATCCGTGGTTCACAGTTTAACCAAAAGCTGTCGGACTTACTCATGATCATGATGTTTGCGTTGGACAGCAGGCTGCCGTGCCTGTTGGAGGCCTCACACTGGTAGACTGCACTGTCAGACTCCTTGGCGTTATGCAAAATGATGGTGTCATCAAGCGTCTTCCTGTTGGCTGCTGGAGCGTCTGCAGTCAACCAGAGAAACAAAAATCGATAAAACATCAGTGTTGAAGATCAAATGCATCACACACAGATAATAACATATCTACAGGTAAGTGGACTTTTCTTCTTAATTCATAACCTCACTGCACAAGGACAGATGGGTATCGTACCAACGCTTTTTTGTGTTTTGAGTTTGAGTTTTGGAGTCAGGGTTAGGGTTCTGTATTTAGTTGTGATGGTTAAGGTTAGGCTAGGGAAAGTATTTTGCCAATGAGAGTTGTACATTTCTGTATTGTTGTATTCATACTTTTAATTAAGCGATCTCAGCCCTTCATCCAGCACTTTATCTGACTCCTATTAAAGGCAGAAGTACAAGAATGTGTGTGTATGTGCGCTCGTGCGTTTGTGTGTGGTGGGTGAAATAAAATGTACAAGATAATATTTCATGTTGCAACAATAAATACAAACTCTATTCCCCTTATTTCTCCAGTGCAGAGAACAGAACCAATAACATCAGAGCTTATTGATACTACAGTCTTTAGTCCCATCCCTAAGCACATGTGTGTATCTGATTGTTTATCATCCCTTCAAAATTGTCTTGCAGCCATGTTTGGGGGTCCCAAACCACATGTTGGGAACCCGTGCCCTAATCCATTGAGCCAGGACTGCTTCACAACCTTTTTAATTAACATGTTTTGCAAGCGTTGCTCTACAAATAAAAGAAAGTAGACTCTACCATTAATGTGTTTACCACATTCTACCCTTCTACTATATGACACAAAAATTGCACGTCACAGTTTCAATCATGAGTGGCATCGTGGCACGACAGATAGTTCTGGTCTGTTTCCTTTTTTCCTAAGATACAATGTTTGCGTCTCACTGGATGGATTTCAATTTAAAGAACCCGGAGTTTTTGACAGCTCAGGATTATTCTAACAGCATTTCACAGTGGATTCCTTCAACATCCATTTAGAGTTTGTGGCTTCAATGACTCTCCTATCCACTCTGGAACACTCCTTCCTCGTGTTAAATCTTAAGCAATGTGATGTCGTAAGAAAGAAAAACAAAACGTCAACATCGATACTTTTTGGGACTTTCAGATTTCCCACATTATGACTGCCACTGTACGACCAGGTTGTACATGTTTAAGTGAGTGTGTGGGACTGACTTTGCAGTGGTACACCGTTCACCCTCCACGTTATGGTCGGCTGAGGAGTCCCGCTGGCGGAGCACTTGATGAGCACCTCTGAGCCGATCATGCTAAGCTGACTCTCGGGCTCAAACACCCACTCCGGAGGCTCTGGGAACACACAGTCAGCACGATGTTATCAAACGGATGAGTGTTAGTTTCAGAAAGACACTGAGCATGGACACATCAAATGTTATTCAATATAAGAGCGCTTTTAGTATAAATGCTGCATTAACATTGAAGGTTTCCCAGGACAGACAAGTAGAGGCACACCAGGCTGCCTCACCACAATCATCGATGACACATTACATTAGTATTGTGAGCACATTTCTGTGATGCACTGGTTTGGTTGTGTAGCAGGGATTTCTAGAAACAATTAAAGGGAGGAGAAGGTATCAAGGCTATTTACAGAATATCTGATGTAAAAGCAACGCCTGCACTTTGACTCCTGGTTTACTGAGGAGACAGTTTCACACCCGTCTGCATCATCACCATCATCACGCTGGTCTGTTATTATTTTTCACCAAATGATCATTAAGCCTCACATACATATTGTCCTGGAAACTTAATTGTGCTATTTTTGGAAATAACATTTGTTATTTGTGTGTTTGTATATGTATATTTTCCTTGCACATTATTATACAGCTGCAGTGAATGTGCAATGTAAATCGTAGACCAAACGGTGATGGAACATATCCATGCATATTTATCTTAGCCTGTAAGAATTTTATTACAGCAACAAAATATGCAGGTTTTTTTGCTGCTTAGTTGCAGTATTTCTATTTTATGTTACTTGAGGACTTATATTTCGACTCCACCTCATTAAGAAAATGGAACCTTTTATTCCACTAAATTTCTTTGACTACTATAGTTGCTCAAAGTTAAGATTTTGATACAAGACACGGTGACAACAGTGTAAAATATAATGCAGATTCAAAGAAAACTTTTCTTTTCCTTGTTCTCTACTTGCGGTGACTAGTCAGGCTCTCTGATTATTACTGTTCAACCAGAGAGACATTTTCGTTCACATTTCTTATCTGGTTTTATTTAAATTAGATTTGAATGTTTGTGGCTGAAAGATGTAGAATTTTAAAATATTTTACAAAAAAGAAATATTTGAATCTAATCATGTCATTTATATTAAAAAAACCAGTCAAAGGGGCAATTTCCATTAACTTTAGTACATGAAGCTCATTATACTTCTGTACTTTGACTTGATTAAATTTCCGAATTGCTGTATTCATACTTTTAATGAAGCGATCTCAGCCCTTCATCCAGCACTTTATCTGGCTTCTATTAAAGGATCATCAAATGCATATATCACGCACAGCTCCTACAGTCAATCTGCTCTACTTGCTTGAGAAGTGAAGGTTCAGTCCATTATTTAAATGGAAAATTGGTTTGATGTGACAGCAGCGCTGAAACTGCATGTAGTATTTACCTTCTACTCTCACTGTGAAGTAGTGGATGGTTTCTCCTAACGGGTTCTTCGCCTTGCACATGTACTTTCCGCTGTCTTCCTGTTCAACTGTCGGCACTATCAGCAATTTCCCATGATTCTCCAGTTTTGCTCTGACAGGGAGCTGATGGCCAATCTTCACCCACTCCACCTGAGGAGTTGGACTGACAGAGAGGGAGAAACACAGTGAGTATAAACATGTTAATATATTGAAATAAAATAAGATAATACCTTATTATTCCCAGAACAGAGAATTGACCGTGTTGTACCAGTAAAGAAGACACAATATGAACATCAGTACATGCGATATAAACACGAGGAAATATTAAAATAGAATAGAAATAATGTTCCTGAACATGAAGTAGATAGTGTTCAAACATGTGAAAAGTAGTGAATGCCACCAAGGAGGATTTCTTTTCACCCCTGCCCCTTTATGTGTTGGCTGGTTTGTTTCTTTGTCAGCAGGATTATGCAAAAACATGACATTTGGTGGAGGGGTGAGGCACCACCCAAGGAAGAATCCATTAAACTTTAGTGTGAATCCGGATCAAGGGACGCATTCAGGTTTTTTTTTTTTCATTTTCTTTAACACTGTAGCATTGTACGTTTTTCCAGATTGAGTGAATTTAAATGTGTTTTCATCAGCTGACTGTTGGGCCTTGGCAGAGGTTTGCACTCTACTCTGCTGAGTGCCAGTCTGTTCTTGGTTTGTTTTTGAAGATAAATTCCTCAAAGGTGTAAGTGAGTTAATATGTTGAAAAATGTTGGATTACTTACAATCCCTCAGCAATACACTCCAATTTCAGGTCCTCTCCTTTGACCAGCTGTGTCTCTGATCTGACACCAGAGGGCGTCAGAAGAGAAGGCCGTCTATCCAGGATGGCGTTAGCTGAGGAGGTATAACAGTGAATTAGACAGAATCAATACACATCAGAGTTGTAATGCAGTTTCCCTAAAGGCTACACTTGAATAAATGATAAACTGACAGAGCTGCATTGTGCACACAGCTCTTTCTAGCTGGTGTTTCACTCACACAACTCACCAGCTTCAGGACTCATGTCACTTTTTTCTGAAATGGAGGTGGATGAGACAAAAATACAATGAACATGAGGACAACGTGGGTGCATCATGACAAAAGCATCATTGAAATCAAAACACAGAACCGAGAGGATGCACAAAACAAGACAGTGTGTCACGGGGATGGCTTTTGAAGTGCTGCGCTGAACGTGGATATCAGTGAACGAGTGTGAAATGATCAGATCTCTGAAAACAAATCAAAGTTGAGCTGGAATGAACAGCTGAAGTGACACCTACTTGTCTTGACGATCACAGACATGGCGGTCTTTTGAACGATGGTTCGTATTCTTGGGAAGGCGGCGAAGCAGCAGTAGTCTCTCCTGCTGTCCTTCTTCTCCGCGTGAGAGAAGTAAAGGTCTCCGTTCAGGCCCATGGAAACTCTCTCATCCTGCTCTATGTGCTGAAGATCTGAGCACACACACACACACACACACACACACACACACAGGAAGGGTTTATGTAGAAAATACAGAGCTGTTTTATATATTTAACCTGAGGTTCACAATCTTTACGACTCATGACTGTTTATATAACAGAAGGGTCTACTTAGGGCCCCTTGTTTTAAAATCCCCTTAAGAATAAGTTCTCTAAAGAAAAAGCACAGGTCATATTTTCCAGTATTTCCAAAATAAAACAAATATTCATATTTGTGTGGCATTTTTTAAATTCTGTTGTGGCCCCATATATAATGACCTCAGATTGCACATTGTTGAACCATTTTGAATAATGTTATCAATAATAACGTATGTCTCTCAGATATTTTACACACAATTTGTTGACATTACTCACTGTACTGTGTATTTTAAACACTTCTTCACCTGCTCCTGTTCTATGCCAGGAAAACGAAGTGTTTTACTCATGGTGGAATGGAACAAAGTACATTTACTTTACTTTACTCCACTGCTGTTTATTCCACAATGTGTCAAAGCATCATTGTATGTAGAATATACTTAAAGTATGTTTTATGTATATACTTTATGTATATTTTATATATAAGAAAATACTAAAAACCGAGATGTCATCAGCATTTCATATACGTTTCCACACAATTCAGACTGACAGATGTACCTGTGGAAACTCTGGATTCTACAATCTAAATGTTTAACTCAGATCAAGGTTTGTCTGTGCAGCAGTTTGAGTTTTAGGGGATTAATCAAATCAGAGGGTGAAATGATAACTTTTGATCTAAATATACCTAAATAAACAATATAATTAATACAAATAAAAGGGTGTTTCATTTGATGAAATGTATTTTAAAACAAATTCATCATAATTAAAAAGGTATCACTTACTGATCGTCATCCAGTAGATCTGCAGAGGTGGGATTCCTTTAGGTGGGTCACACTGTAAAGTAAAAGCCTGGCCTTCCTCCACCACCACAGGGTCCAGTGTTTCTTTCGGAAACTTTGGAACATCTACATTAAAGACATTACGCACACAGAGTCAGTAGATGAAGTCAGACAAGAATGAATCAACTAATCTCTTTAGTTCTCCTGCACTCCAGTAGATGGCAGTAATATACTTTATGAATTCTGTGTGGGGCCTGCTTCCTGTGCTCTGTCTGTAACATTTAGAAGATTGAATTCTGTGGGATGTATTTCAGTTCTTGGCCTTAAGAAACAAAAGAGACATCACTAAGACACTTGTTTAGGCTTGTTCCCACTGCAGAGTGGTTGACGCTCAGCCAATCTTAGTCAAAATCCCTGTTCTGGATTTTTTTTTTCTTTTTTGGGGAGGTAGATTATGTACTGTGCTTGGGAACCAAAATAAAAATGTGGTAAAGGGATGGAGAGGCTGGATCATGTGAGGATTTCTCCAGTGCAGAGTTACAGATGAGATGCTGTGAGGGGCGGGGCGCACGTCAACCTCAATGACTTTCTGCCATGTCAAATACAATGAAAAGCTCACAACGGAGCAGTGCAGTCATTACATAGGGCTGCTGGTCCTGAATCACTTTGAAAAGCACTGTAATGGAGCACCCTGCTCACACACACATGGATGTATGTTACTCACTGGGCACATAGAACTCAATCTCCTCCGATATGGCGGTCCCCCGTTTATTTGAAGCGTAACAGCGATAGATTCCCTGGTACTCTGTAAGGTTCCCATTATTGGGTATCACAAAGGTCCCAGAATTCTCTTCTTTCATCAACCGGGGGTCGAGGAAGGGGTCAAATTCCACGCCATTCTTTGTCCATCTGAATCTACATAAAGAAAGCCAGTATTGAAATGTCAAGTCTTAACAGCTTAGACTTTCATCATGCTCACTTTCCAAAGATGGTGCACAGATTCAGAGCAACAAAATATAGCACATCATGTCAACGGCCAACTGTTGTTGTTGTTGTTTGTTGTTGGTGTCTGTTTGGCTGCTAACAAGCTCTCCATCCTCGCCTCCTCCCCGGTCTGGAGCGGTGTGAGGTTCTGTACTCACTCTGGCTCGGGATTCCCTTTGGCTTCGCACGTCACGGAGAAGCTCTCGTCAAAAGGGAAGGCGATGACAGTGTTGGGCGACTGATCTGTGATGGTGGGCAGCTGCTCAACTGGGCAACAAACAAGCAGACAAGCATGGAAATGTGAGAAGCACAACACAGGCCTGAATACAGAACTCTATTCAAAACTATGTCATATGAAACATGATACTACAGCAGTGGTCTCCAACCTTTTGCCACCGTGAGTCCTTACACAGAGCAATGCCCTCTGGTGACCCCCCTTATCAAAGGTTATAAGGCCTCAGTGTGTGAAGTTCAGCAGAACTTTACTTCTTCCAAGGAGGTTATGTTTTCACCTGTCTGTCTGTTTTTTTGTTTGTTAGATTTCCATTCAACTTGGTGGAGGGATGGAGCCTGGAACCTGGAACATTTTGTTGTAGATTTGAATGAAGGGATGGATCCAGAATTCATAGATCTCTCTTGAAAAACATACATATTTAGACGGTTGAATTTGGTGCAGATCTGGTCAAAAATCAGAATCTTGCAGATTTTACCATTTTTATATATTTTTTTTTATAGGAGGTAGATTTTTTTCAACCACTATGTGAAAAACAAGGCTTAAAAGCTACAACTGACAGTTATAAGTGGAAAAACATATGTATATCATGTTGCACCTCACATTAAACGCAACAACGCAACAATGGTAAGTTCCACTTCATCAGTAGTAGTAGTTAAAAGTACTCAGGACATCAGCAGCACTTACATCAGCATTTCTCTTCTATATATCTGCTATAACAACCACACAATCATGTGTAGGACTGTTCGGCTGTGGCGGAGGTATGCCCTGTGCCGACTGACATTCAAGCTATTCTTACGTTTGAAGGACTACTAAAGCCTGAGGCAGTAAAAATGTCCTATAACTCACAAGAAAAACACATATAGGATTTTCCATCCATCCATTATCCATACTGCTTTTATCCTTTAAAGGATGCAGGGGGAGCTGGAGCCAATCCCAGCTGGCGTTGGGTGAGAGGCGGGGTACATCCTGGACAGGTTGCCAGTGTATCACACGGCCAGCATACCGAGACAAACTTCCATGAATGCTCACATACACACCTACAGTCAATTGAGAGTCTCCAATTTTACCAATTGAACCAGTTTTTGCTTTTAGGTAATAGACTTTTCCTTCTAAGCACTTAGATTTATCTTGCAAACTCAGGTTGGAAACCACTGGACTAACATGTTTAAACCAAAATGACATTTTATGCAGAGTTCTATCCCAAAACAGAACAAACAAATAACTTTGTCAATATAGTCGAAAGTTTGGCATTTATGAATTAGCCAACTTGTTGGATTGTTTCTATTTTGGGCATAAAACTCTTGACTCAGTCTCATATGATCTTATGATGACAACACTGAAACACATGGTGAGAATGGAAAACACACAGCATGTCATGTATGACTGTAGTATGAATACGTATAAAGGAAATGCAAATGCAATGAGTCATAGAAGCTACAATCACTGTATTGTTACGGAGTCAGGACTGATGCTGTGAGTCAGCGAGCGAGGAGATGAACTGAGAGAGAGCTGAGGTCATCACTAACACCAGCTACAGAGCGGCAGAATGAACTTACTGTTTACATGACCTAAAACTGCACAATCCACGGCAGCAGGGGGAAATAAACAACACAAAAAACAGCCTCGTCACAAGTACTCTCTGTACACAAACCTTTTCAAGCACATACACATTGGTGATGCCAAACAAAAGAATGAATTAAAACAATATTACTGAGCCTTCTGCCTTTTCAGAAAACCTTCTTGAAGTGTTCTTTATCAAGCTTTTAAGAGATATCTCTGAATAATTTAGAGGTAGACGGTTGATACATTTTTGCAGTAAAACTGGGAAACATACCGACGACACAAAAGCAGTCTCATTCAAGCAAGATAATGACTGTCGATTTATTGCCTTCACAGAATACTTGATGACTGTAACAGCTCTCTGTGGTGTGATTTATTTGCCTCTAAATTATTCAAGTTAAACCAAGAACACATTCTCTGTAGAAGTGAATAAAGATTTGTGCGACTCCTCACACTTAACCTTTCCTTGTTTATATATTCCACTGGGTCCTCTACTTCAGAAATCACTTTCTTTGAGTCGTGAATATAAATGTATAAATGTAATTCCTCTGACTTGAAATTATGATTAGTATCAGTTCACTGCAGTGTTCCCTGAATGCAGATAGATCCAGAAACTGTTGGAAATCAGATCTTTTACTATGCATCTTTGTTTATGTCTTTTAAAGATGTTTAGTACATATATTACTGCAGAAACAAGTTGTGGACACTACATTGACATCAACAGACCAATGGCCATCTTCAAATGAGGTGCGGTCAGGTGCGTTGTAGGTTCATTGCTATCTTCAACCAGCAAAATGCGATTGCGCGTTTGAAAAACAAAAAATTTACTTCCAAACTCATTTCACGTGAACTCAAGTCAGAACAGCAGTTAGGAAAGTCAGCAAGAATTTTGGTACATAAGTTACTGATGTCATCGCTTGAAAACAAATGAACAAAATACCTTCAATGTAAACTTGTCAAATGTTACTTTTGTCACTTGCAAACTGTACGTCCATCTCTCACAGGTGTCTAACACGACAACATGTTTTTAATGATTAAGGTGCATTCATTTAAAATGATCAATGTGCCTGTCACACCTAAAACTCTTTTTCTGCTCTTCTTTTTTATGCAAATATACGAAAAAGATATTGCAGTGTTGTTTGAACACTTGTTACATAAATACAACACATTTTGTTTACAGTGTCCATGTGCTGTTAGTTCAATGGTGGAAAAAAAGGGTCCCTGCACCAGCACCTGCAAACACACCTGACTGCTAAAGGGAATGGGAGATGGCGCTATATTTGGTTTATTGCATGTTGGGCCCCAAAACATACAGTACCACCATTTATTTTAACCATGCATCTGGCACAGTGACCTTTTCCCAGCATTAAGTAGACAGAGCTGATTTGGACACACCATAAAGGCCATTGCACCATGCACTTTACACCCTGCGCTTAGATCATTAAAATAGCTAAAGTTAAGTGAAACCAGCTTACACTTTTTACAGTGTAAAAAAAAACATGATTTAAAGGGTTGGTTCAATCAAATAGTGACACAAAACCATAATTCCTCAGATCCATAATTAAATGTAAGTGGATGAAATTTTGTCTGCGGTGTTATAATCTTTACAATTTAACAAATTCAACAACAATGTGATCATTTCAAATAAAATGTCTTTGTTCATCTGGCTACAACAAAAATAACTAATAATGTTTTAAATCATTTAAAACTGGAAAAACTGTTAACTGTGTAATAAAAATATATTTTTGTCATCTAAAGGAACTGCCTCTTTAACTGCAGTAGTGATTGAAACCAGCCTCCTATGTGTGAATGAATGTTTTGCTATAGTACAAAGTCAGCACTCACCCTCCAGTGGGATGTCAATGGCAGTAGTCGTATATAAGGCACAAAACCAGCTGATCAAGCCCAGCACGGCGACCACTCCCAGGCTCCTCTGCGACCTCATGGTTTCACTGTAAATCTCAGATGTCCTCAGGAAACGCGTGTTCTCTCCTCTGCGTCCTCAGTTCATTTCTCTGGTGCGCCGAAAGATGCTGTACCTGTGAGAGTAGCACAGACGGAGAAGGCCCCATGAATCCACCCACGCGCTGGCAGACAGAAAGGCAAACCCCAAACACAACAAATCCCATGTGACTGGGAGCCTGACTGCTCCCTGCTCAGCCAGGCATAACCTGGCACACCGCACATTTTCATTTGCATCGACAGGGGCTCTGTGCGCTACTTGAGGTTTTACTGTGACAAAGAAATATTCACATTGAAGCCTCACATCACACCCCCTCCCCCTGGGACTCAAATTGTTTGGTAGTTTGATGTCAGTGGAAGTGTGTATTTTGAAATGTGCATTTTATATGCGACAGTGGGAATAAATAAATAAGCAAATGAAGGAGCCTGTGGATTTATTAGTACATGGCAGATGTTCAACATCACTGAAGGAAAGAAACAGAGCCAAGATTGAAATCAAAATTACCATCAGAGTTAAGACTATTTGGCCGATTTAATCACAATGCTGTTTTGATCAGCGCCTGCACGATTCTGATAACAATGACTCAAAGAGATTAACAATGCGGCTACATGTTTATCTGTCATTGCAGCAAACACTGCTGCCTGAGGGATGTGAGGCATAAATGGTGAACATAGTTAGGAGTCAGACAGAGTGAGCTGTGCACACACACGCGCACACACACACACACACACACACACACACACACACACACACACACGCACACACACACACACACACACTGACAAGCTGCAGAGTACAGATCATCTTGCAGCTAACAGACCAGAGTGTGGACCATAATGAGCACATGATTGGTCGGGAGTGCGGGACCGGAGCAGGGAGGAGCACGAAAGAGAACGATGTATGGGAATTTCAGTGTCTGTGCAGTGTATACCCTGTGGGGTGTCAGCTCATTAGTCTTCCTTGTGTTGGCTGTGACCCAGCTCAGTAGGTCATGTCATAGTAATTAGCTTAACAGTTTAACATACACCACAAAAAACAAAATAAACAAATAATATCAAAAACATAGAATCATTATTCTGTTGCTCTGCAGGGATTTTCTTCTTTTAAGTCAGTGCTTATTAAACATAAATGTTTGAACATGCAAGGATCTGCATTACAAGGTAAGGAAATCCAGTAATTGCAATTACCGAATTAGTGTTGATAGGGCTCGCAATTAATGTTAAACACACACAGTCAAGCAGTTATAACTAAGATATGAGCTGAACAGTAGCGGTGCTCAACCACCTCTGCGACGTCTAGAAAAGAGCCGGTTTGAATTCAGCACCCGTTCTTTCCTCATCTTCCTGCTGCTCTAACCAAACTCAATGGGTGACACTGAGGTCAAACTCCTGTTCGAGAGACGTAATTGAATAATTGACCAGAGAACAAAAGAGTCGATTTCATTAATTCAGAGAACGATGAACATGCGTTGACGTTCCAACCATTCCTCATGGCAATGGTATTAACTCCGTCTGCAACTCAATACTGACCTTTTTGAACCAACTCGTGACCCCTGCCACGCCCACAGACAGCTTCGCCATCAGGGTTCGAGAATCCAAGGGTGCTACGTGTAATATAAACCCGCCCCACTCAATCACAATTTATGCCCACTGATGTCAGAGTTATAAGTCATCCACAGAACCGCCTGAGGCTTTTCTTTTGTTTCAGCCTTTCCCAAACATGGGGATTTACACATGTTGCTAAACAGAGATTAAAATCAAAAGGTAAGGGCTTTCTGCTAATTAGTTTGTGCTTTGTTGGTGAGATTGGCCTGGTTAAGTGGAAAAGGGAGTAGGAGAGCATTACAATTCCCACTAGACAATGTGTTCTCATTGTTAGACCGTGCTGGCCAAAATCCTTTACCAACCTAACAACACCTTAGATGGATTACACTTTGTTCAAACTGTGCCTGATCATTTGCCTTTTGATTTAATTTGTTCTCCCCTCATTAAACATTTATTGGAAACCAACACGGCCATCTGGTTGAGGGAGGTCCGCTCAGGGCTTAACTGCTGCGAGTAACAATGTCTACACTAAAGTCAGAGGGTATGGAGCCTATTGGACCTATATGATACACTCAAGAGGGGCCCCCCTCCGGCTCGGCTGATTTACAGACCGAGGGCTGTTTTTAATCCCCGCCCCTTTCAGCAGCGATCTCACCAGCTCGAGATTGATGAAGCTGGCAGGAGGTTAAAAGCCGCTCACTGTGGGAAGGCCAATATGAACCCTAACCTTACTTAGCCAAGGCTCAGAGGGGACAGAAGCTCAGCCCAGGAGGGGGCAAGAAGTGGGAGTTGAAGCAATGTAGGCCAAGTAAAAATCTGCCTCCATACTTTAAAGCTGTCTGAGTGACAGATGTAGAGCACTCTGTGACAAACCTTCTCCTCATCAACAAGACCAAAAAGACCAAGTTGGTTCATTTGCCAATGTCGACCAATTCCGCACAAAGACACTGTAACCTAATTTTACCCATCATCATTAAAGTGTTTGTCACAATAAAAAGCTACAGAGACACTTTTCAAACTCCCAGCGCTGGTGGGATGGGGTTAAACATGTGCAATATGGCACAAGATGGTGCCAGAATAACTTTTGTAGTCAATACTGATATGAATCACCAATATCAATATGTATCTCAATATGAATGAATTCTCTATCATTCACAACAAACATAGATTCCGTCTTGTATCTTGGGTCTGTTTGGTGTCAAGTCAAGTCTTAATATCTTAACACCCATTGATTAAACATGTGATCAACTCGTCAATCAGGGAAAAACCATTTTAGTCACCGGTTTGTTGTTTCAGTCAACTGTCATACAAAAATAGTACACTACAAACTAAATCTATGGAGGGGTATAAAGATGCCACGTTGAACAGTGAATCTGCGATTAGTGTTTTAAAAAAAAAATCATTTTAAGATAAATCAGAAAAATAAATCAGCAGAATAATTGATAATAAAAGGGATCATTAGCTGCAGCCATAATTGGTGCCAACTACAATCAAGACAATTAAGAGAAAAAAAGTGTGTTTGATTTGAGTCAGTAGATGATAATACAGTAGTGAAAACTACGATTATTTTATATTCAATTTCTGCCAATAGATCCCTTTCACCTAAATCTTACACACTGGACCTTTAATTAGCCCTTTTTGGAAGCGTCTTATCCACTGAGAAACTCTGCAAACTGCACTTGATGTAGCCAAAGAACGTCTGCACCACCCACGTCTTGTCATCTTGTTTATCCATGACTGATCCTTACATTAAGGGTTGTTGTGACTGTTGAGGAGTGAGCTGTCACTTTCTGTGCCAACAGGAGCAGTTTCCTCGGGGGGTATGTATGCGTTCCCGTATGGACTACTGATATCAAAATGTTCTGCTGACTAGAACAACCCTTTAATACTTGGTGGACTGCAAGTTCTTGAACTATCTGGCCAACAAAGTAATTTGTCTACAGTATATTCATAATTTTCTATTGAGAAAATTATCTTTGGCAACCAGCGTTTTACCATTTACTGTATATTCCTCATCCCCACTTCAGCTTTGTTGTTTTTTATTAAGCTTTTTTTTCAGACATGCACTGATATCCAGACATTTTCCTGAAATTTTGCGGAGGGGCTGTTGGAGTCCATTGCTCTGGACATTTTCCGAAACATTTCCTGCCAGGCCTCTCGTAAAGTGTCTGGAAAATGTCTGAGTGAGCTCATGAGAATAGAGCAGGGAATATCATAACCTTCACAGTGGGCGGCCATGTTGATATTTCCAACACGCAACAGATGCTGAAAAACTGAAAAACAGAACTGGATAAACAAAAGGAATACAAATATTTAAGGATGGAAAAAAGCAGCCTTACACCAATAAGTTGCAGATACAATTTAATTGTAAAAAATTTTTTTTTTTATTTTTATAACTTTAAACTCAATTGTGGTGTCAATGAGAAGTTCAAATTTAGAGAGAAAAAAGCTGTTCTTCACACTTCACACTGGATACTGTATCATGAAAGAGCAGAATTCACTGACTTACTACAATAGAGATTCTTCACATCAGCCATTTTGTTAATAGTGTTATTAATTAAATTAATCAACCCTCGTACCTAAACCTTTATTAATGTCAACACCTGTGTTCATCCACTATTTCATGTCAAAATGGCTGCTACCCTGGCACACAACAGGCCTGTTCTGTCTGTTTCTGGACTCCTATAGTTCAGCCATCTGCTCTGGCATCACACCTCAACTGTGACCCATGAACAAATTCCCAAATATTTGAAATGTATCACACACTATATACGAGGATCACATGAGTCAGAATTCACAGACAAAAACAAACCACATCAAGTTGCTTCCTTGATTATTCTCCATGCGGCGTAGTTTAGTAACGGGGGTGGGGTCCAGGCTCAACCAGCCAAAGTTCACTACAGTAGGTCTATAGCTCTTGAGCTGGAACCATCTGCTGCTTTCTCACACAAAGACAACAGGGCAGAGAGAGTGTGAGCCTACTGTAGTTTAATGTGCGAGCCTGTAATAGGATTAAGCAGATCCTCGTCTTGTCAGGCCGGATTAAAATATTCTCTTTGCTAAAGACCTGCAACGGGAAGACAGCGGCTCCACGCTCCCCTCTCACGGCCCTGATAATGCCTTCACACTGATTCCCATTTGATCATTCAAGAACAATTAAAACAACGAAGCAAGCTGATTAACACTAAGCAGTAATTGACTTGCGTTGCTTCTGAAGTGTGTAATGAGTGCACAGTTTATTAGGGTCGTCAGTTTGTTCTTTTTGTCCAATCAGTAGCTCATTTAGCTTGCAAATGTGACACACTGTCTGGCTTTCTATGAAAACACATACTCTCAAGTGGCAAAACCTTATTTTTTGTATTTATGTATTTTCATATTTGTTTTCCCGTCTTACTCTTCAGAATTCAAACTATGTTCCTTCCTGACCTTTGGCAATGTTAAGCACGTTTAGCATTCTACAACAAGCTTGGCCATGCATTTCATCTATTATTAAAATATTAATGGCGAGAAAGAAAAAAAAACAGCAACAAGG